ACAGTTCATTAGGGAACTGCACATTAAAACAAGAGACCACTACACATCTATTAGAATGATTAAAATCCAAAACACTGGATTTATGGACACTTGCTTTATAGTCCAGAGTATGGTCTTGGTAGATATTGCATGTACAGCTTGAGAAGAATGTGTTGTAATTGATATGTAAAGGTCAACTAGGTCAAAGCAGTTAAAATTGTTCAGCAGAAAGGTGTTGTCATCTTTATTTTTGGTCCTCTGCCTTTTTTCTCTGGCTGCTTTTAAGCTTCTCTGTTAATCTCTGATTTTGAGCAATCATGATGCGCCTGGTAGTTTTCCTCATACTGCTCGGGTTTGGGGTTATGGATCTGTGTGCTAACAGTTCTTCATAAATCTGGAAAATATGCAGCCAGTATTTCTTCAAGTAGTTTTTCTGTTCTGACTCCCTGTTTTCAGGATTCCATTTTATTTTGGGCTGTTTGAAATTGTCCCACAGCTGATAACTCTGGTTCATTTTTTTTTCCAATTCATTCTACTTACTTTTATTTTGGATTGTCTATATTGTTATGTCTTCAAATTCACTTATCTTTTTTCTGTTTTGGTGTCCTTGTCTGCTAATTCTAACATCCAATGTCATATATGAGTTTCATTTTCCAACTTTTTTGCACACCTTGTAATTTTTGATTCAGTGTCATATGCTATTGGGACCTAGATATTTTTTTATTCCTAAAAGCATTTTTAACCTTTGTTCTGGGATGCAATTAAATTACTCAGAAAGTTTGATCCTTTCAGGTCTTGCTTTTAAGATTTGAAAGGCATGGCTGGAGCTATGTGTAGTTTAGGGCTGTTTCCTACTACTGAGTACTTCCGAGTACTTCACCCAATGTTCGGTGAATTATGAGGTCTTCTTCCTTCTAGTCTTGTTGTTGGTCTTGTGTGAGTACAAGTATAATTCCCTCTGATCCTTTCATGTCTTTCTTTCCCTGGCCTCCCTAGTTTCCTGAGATTGTGTACATTTTGAGGAGGGCCTTTGGTCTATCTCCAGAGTTCTTTTGCCTGGTACTTGCCTGAAAACTCTGGGCATCTTGGACTCCTGACTCTCAGCGCCATCTCCTCAAAGCAATGAATATACTGGAAACTGGCTGTGATACCCCTTCCTGCACTATTGCCTAGAAAGTCTCTCAAGACATTAAGCTGGGGCAAACACAGGGCTTACTCTGTTTCCTGTCCCTCAGGTATCACTGACCTTCATTGCCTGATATTCAGTGTTTTTTAAAAACTATTTCATATACTTTGTCCATTTTTTGGGTTGTTTCAGGCAAAGGAGATAAGTCGGGCCTCTGTTACTCCATCTTGGCCAGAAGTGGAATTCTTCCATCCTTGACCTTTTATCCACTCTAAAAATATTAAGTACCTACTGTATGCCAGGTGCCTCTGAGCTAGGTGATGGTGACAGAGTACTAGCAAAGTACAGTCTTATTCCCAAGCCCTTCTGTTCTAATGGTAAATAAAAATCAGTAAATAGGGGCGCCTGACTGGCTTAGTCGGTTAGGAGTCCAACTCTTGATATTGGCTCAGATCATGAATTCACTGTCATAAGAGTGAGCCCCCCCATCAGGCTCTGTGCTGAGCGTGGAGCCTACTTGGGATTCTCTCTCTCCCTCTCTCTCTCTGCCCTCCCCTGCTCTCTTTCAAAATAAATAAACTTCAAAAAATCGGTAAATAGACCTGATTCTTAGATGTTCTGTAACTCCAATTCTGGCCTTCTGCTTTCTTTGCTAATTCACTTCCTCCTAAAGTTCACTTAGTTTCAAGTATTGAACTACTACTTCTGTGTTGATGACTTCCAAGTCTATGTCTCCACTTTTATCTTTTTCTATAAACTCCAGTCTTGTATTCCCCCAAGGCTCATTGTTAGTCAATCACACTAACAAGTTCTTCTTAAATTTCCCTACCTCTAAACATCAAAAAGTCAAGTGGATTCTACTAATTTCCAAATTCATCTTCTCTTAGCCATTCTATGCAACTCAATTAACAAACTTTGAGTACCTAATACATTCTAGGTATTTCTATGCCTTCAGTCTTGATCCCTTTCAATTTATCCTATATAACATACAGGGTGAATGATCTTTCTAAAGAGAAACCTCATTCCATCATTCCTCTGCTTAAAATCCTTTGATGAGAATCTACAAATTTTAAAATTAAATCCAAAGTCCAACCTTATGGTTCACAAAGCAATTAAAGGCACAATCCCTGCAAGTCTCAAATTTCAGCTCCGTGACTCACCTTTATTCTTGTCTTATGTTCCAAGCATACTTAAACATTTGCAACTCCCCCAAATGTACCATGTTTTACCTCACATTCTTTGTATATATAGTTCACTCCGCTTAGAATAGTGCTATCTCCTTTTTTCCCCCTGATTCCTTTAGGCTATTTAAGATTCAGTTCAGACATCTCCTCCTCCAGGAAATCTTCTCAAATTACCCAATCTGTTTCAGAGATAAACTTTCTTTCTTTCTTTTTTTTTTTTTTTAAGTTTATTTATTTTGAGAGAGAGTGAGCATGGGAGGGGCAGAGAGAGAGGGAGGGAAGGAGGGAGGGAGGGAGGGAGAGAGAGAGAATCCCAAGCAGGCTCCACACTGGCAGCACAGAGCTCAATGTGGGACTCTAACTCATGAAGTGTTGAGATCATGACCTGAGCCTGAGGCTCAGGAGTTGGCTGCTCTAGCCGACTGGAGTGACCCAGAAGCCCCAGGGTGTGGTACTCCTCTGCTAAAGTTATGTAGAAACTCAACTCATTCTAATTTATTCAAAAAACAAAACTATTATGAAGCTACTCGGCTCTTCTAGGTCAGGAGCTAAGCCTTTCATCTACACAGGAAATGACCAAACAGGGAAACATATAATAACGGATAATTAATTGACTCCTCAAAGACCAGGCAGTGAAACAGCACAGAAAAACATATGACACAATGAGAATAAGTAGGGTGAGGGAGCTTGGTGGTAGCCTGCTGGGTTTTGCCACTGAGACTTAGCAGTACTAACTTTCCATGCTGGTTCTTCCTTCATCAGCTGTGACAGCCCTCTCCTCAGGGTTGTTGTGAGTTTCAAAGGAGATACTATTTGTGAAAACACCTTGAAAAAATTAAAATCTCCCTACAAATATAAGGTAGAGTTACTATTACAGTAATCACAGCATGCAAATAAGGAGAACAAACTGAGGTGTGATGGGGGGTGGCAGGGAGGGAGGGGTCGTGGCTAGAGGCACCTTTGGGATGAGCAATGGGTATTGCATGGAAACCAATCTGACAATAAATTTCATATTAAAAAAAACTGCAACCAATTAAAAAAAACCTGCAACAAATTTAAAAGGAAAAAAAATAAAAAATAGCATACAGTCCTTATTAATGGGAGTAGAAGGTGGCAGGTACTTTTTCTACTACTGAAGGTAGAAATATGATAAGAACGCAGTTAAAATGAATGCCAAAAAAAAAAAAAATGAAATGACTGCCAATATAGCTCAAAATAAAGGGAAGGTTTTCTAATATCAAAAGCCTTCAAAGTCAGGAAGCTTGAAAAACAAAATTTTTAAAATCACCAAGAGAAAAATTGATTTTTATTTATTATAATTCATGTATCATCAAGTGTGGTTACAGCTCAACATAAAGCAAACTGAGAGAGGAGCCACTTTCGGCTTTAAGATTTCATTTTTTCTGATTTACTTGGTAAAGTATTCCTGCCTTACGAAAATATTACTTTATATATGACTAAAACACATTATGAAGTATTCCAAAATGGATATAAGAGAAGCAGTCTATATCAAAGACTTATCCAACACATGATAAGGACCGAATGAGATAATGCATGTAAAGATACATAAGCTGTGATGAGAGACTACGGATACAGCAGTCTGTATCCGCAGAGGCCCAGACACTAAATACCAGATTGAAGTAGAGTTTGGCGAGCCTTAAAAGAGAGCTGACAGGGACATTCTTTATGGGAGAAAAATCATCTGAAAATTAGAAAGACCAATGGTATCACAGTGCTGTTCGATTTTTTCTTTCTCTTTTTCTTTTTCTTGGCGTGTCTCATGCTGCATAAGATGAAAGAAGACAAAATGGATTCCAAGGATAATTCCCACTGTTTCCCCCAAAATGTTCACAGGTTTTTCACAAAATATATCATAGGGTATTTTTAGCGTTCTTTTGATGATGCTGGGAGTGTTCAGCCCTTTTTGCTGAGGAAAACAGGGTAAAATAATGTTTCCTACAAAGGCTTTGGACACAAAGTCGGCTAGAATCTAGAACAGGGGATGAAATCTTGAACATAACAACATTTTTTATGATGAGCTAGAAAATTTAAGTTACAACCAATAATTAGGAAATGCTGATATTAACTTCATTTGTAAGTTATCTTTTTTTTTTAATCTAAAAATCATATTTAGCTGGAAATAAATGGTGATTCTCTCCCAGTTAGCATATGAATAGGAAGCTTGTACATCTGAATCCCAAGATAACAGTGAACATCTGAAGGCTGCACAGCCTAACTGAAGCTCATGGGTGTGTGCCAGGCAAACCTAGCCTCCTGGAGCACCAGGAAAGGTTCAAGGACGTCTGTCCTAAGTTAGATATTTAGCAATGCCAAAAATCAGCTGCATTACTCTAGAGACCCATGTAAACATTAGCTTCATTTGCCTGTTATTTAAACATAACTAAGGGGCGCCTGGGTGGCGCAGTCGGTTAAGCGTCCGACTTCAGCCAGGTTGCGATCTCGCGGTCCGTGAGTTCGAGCCCCGCGTCAGGCTCTGGGCTGATGGCTCAGAGCCTGGAGCCTGTTTCCGATTCTGTGTCTCCCTCTCTCTCTGCCCCTCCCCCGTTCATGCTCTGTCTCTCTCTGTCCCAAAAATAAATAAACGTTGAAAAAAAAAAAAAAATTTAAAAAAAAAAAAATAAATAAATAAACATAACTAAAATATTCATTGAAGTTGATCAACACTGAATCCCGCCCCCCTTTTAACTCACCTGTAAGATTCTTTGCAAGATGGATGGAAGGGCAATAAAAGCTGCCATGCTGTTTAGAACTTGCATGGTCAGAGATCTCAGAGCTGTTACAATAACAAAATGTTAACATTAAGGTTAGTTTAAAATAAGAGGTTTTGGTTTTCCCTATAAGTTAGTGAAAAATAGTGGATTTACCTAGCTTCCTAGAAACTTAGCTAACCGGGGCCAGCTGGATATTTTAAAGTTACTGTTGATAAGTAACAAAGCTACTATTATTCAAGACAAATGACAGAATTGGTGCCATAGAAAAAACTGAATATAAAAGGGGAGATTAATACTACACTATGATTTCATTAAGAAAAACAGTAATGATAATTTTTAGCAGATAATAATTGGCGATGGTGTAGGTGGACTCAATAAACCTACCTTCAGGGTGTAGATGAGGTGTAGCTGAACCAGACAGCTTCTGAGGGGCCATCATTGCCTCCAATAATGGAAACCAGAGTGCCTATAATGTCAGAGGAAACCACAGCGCTCTGTTATTTTTAAGATTAGCATCAGCATAGTGTTTTACAGGTTGAAATGTGCCTCTGACATACATTTGCTTGCAAAAAAAAATTTTTTTTTAAAGAAAAGATGGAACACTTGACTGGGAAGAGAAAAGACAGTAAGAAACAATGACCATAGCTCAAACAGATGTCTTCACCATGCACCCTGGGAAAATAAAGAAACTGAAGTCAGTAAGTCTAGACCTTGGAACTATAATCTCCTGTGTCTCGGGAGAAGGTAGGTTCAAAGCAGACACGGCAGAGCCTCCAGTCAGGTTCTTGTATACTATGCTTTAAAACCGTCACTGACCAAGTCTAAATAACCCTATGTACTGCAGGAGAGAACAGAGAACAGCCCCCTCCACTACTTCATCTCCACCCCCTCCCCCATTTCTCTTTAGCGATGTCAAGCAAGATCAATCAATGAAGGTTATCCAAAAATTTGTTCCCACTCTCAAGCATTATTTTGTATTTCCTTAGTCATCACAGACCAAGAAGTAGAAGTTAATATTATTTCAATTAACATTTCCAACCACATCAGTAGATAGATCATCATTTATTCCTATTATGTTGGGTGCTCTATTAAATGATTTACACAAATTTTTTCATTTCAATCTTGTAACAGCCTTACACCGTAAGCATGACCTTCACTTGAGATAAGAACTGAAATTTAGAAAAGTAATTTGCCAAAGATCACACCGTCAGTAAACTGGTGCTGTGACTCCAAAATCTGTGTTTTCCTAAGCCTTGGGAAAAATCTTTATCATCAAAAATCAAACTAATACATTTCAAAACTTCGACTACGGTTTCTTGTTGGATAATCATTTACAAAAGCTTTATTTAACTCTGTCTTGGGAGGAACCTATTCCTGCAAACATCTGGGAATCATGAAGAAAGGTCAGAGCAGAACAAGAGTGGTTCTAGGAAGCTCTGTAAATACAGAAGGGAAATGTGTCACCCATTACCTGACACTGTACAAGTCCTATGGCAGTGGAGATATGGGAGCCCCTTAAGGCAAAGGAGACAGGCTGAGGGTCCAGCAACATTCCCACTGGGTGACCTCCCAACTGAAGAGCTCTATTGAAGAGCTAAGATTTTATACTGATGACTTTTCATGCATTCCAGTTCTTAAGATACTGGTTTTAACTTGGTTTTTATTTTATTGAAATTTTAATTTATTTTATCTAGTACTCATGAACTTTTAATCTTGTATTTTATTCTGAGATAGCTTTACTTAGCTTACCTTTTAGTTGCCTATTTTAGCTTGTTTTTATAACCACATCATTTATTTCTGTGTATTTTAATTGTGTAATTTAATTGTATATGGCAAAATTTTTACCTTGTTTTTTATATTTATTATGTTTATAAATTTGGTTTTTAAATTTTCTTATTTAATCCAGACAATTTAGAAGAAATACCTTTGTAAAGATTAGTTGTTTAATGAGTATAAATGGCAGCCTGGGGGGAAGCATGGTTGTAAGAGGTAATAGCCATGAAATGTGTTCACACCCTACTTCCAGGAGTTATTCTTCTTTAACTAAATCTCCACATGAACCATCCCCTGAAAGCAACACAACTAAACTTGAATTCCTTTGTTATGTTATGTAATAAACAGCTTTCTTCTTAGGGAATTATATGCACAACAAAGCCAGATTCTTTATTATATGTGTATCAGGAAAGCCTTGTAAACAGATAAACAAAGGTAGGACAGGTAGAGATTCAACTTGAGAAAGGACAAACAGCCCAACTTCCTGCAGTCTGACTTTTACGTAAATACTCGTAACATTAAATCTTGTGATGACAACTTTTAGAAAAAGATACTACAAACAGTTCATCATTAAACTTTCGAGTACTTCAAATTTTCTAGTTAGTTTAGTGTCTGTGGCAACAGCTTTTGCTCTCTCTCTCCAAAACAAAACAAAAACAAAGCAAAGAGAATCAAGGCAAACAACCATGAAAATCCCCCAAACTTAATGTTTTGGTGTCACACAAAATCAGTCTAGCATTTTTCAGGCAATAAAGTAAGAAATTAACATTCAAATATTTTTGTTGTTGTCATAAAACTTGTTCAGAAATGAAGCATAAACCAATTGTTGGAGAGTGGGGTCATAAAGAGAGTAGTGAGCATGTGTGTGTCCGCACGCGTGTGTGTGTGTGTCTAAGACAAGGATAGACAGACAGACTTTTCTTACAGGCAGCCAGTGAATGGTATAATAATAGTCTTAAAGAATGAAAATTTCAAAGGATAGGAAGAAGTCTAACATCTAATACCTTTATTAAAACAAATTCCAACTCAGACAAAAAAAAAAAAAAAGAATAAATTTTCCTTTGGCCACATCAAAGGAAGCATTGTTCCCGTCTGATTAAGAGATACGGAGTTCAAATACAGTCAGAATAATCCTTAGAGTTCTGGAGGCATGGATTTTTATAACTAATTCTACCATTAATACATGTGAATCTGGACATATTTTCAGCTTATGTGAACCTAAACAGCCTTACTTAAAAGACATAATCATCGTTTTTTGCTTAAACTGTCCACGAGAAGTTGCGAGAGTCTCAAATAAGATACTGGAGAGGAGATGGGAGGGTTGAAAAGTGAAAAAGACGTAGAATTAAGTATATATGAACACAGCTTTAAGAATTCTACCCTATTATGTTCTCTACCAAAATATAACCATGTCCAAATACAGCCAGCTAACCAAAAGATAAATGAAAATAAAAACTTTAGGAATGGAAAAATCATGGCAAAAAGGACTGGTGTAAAGCTGATCATCCATTTAAAAAAGGTTGAACAATTTGTGGGAATTGTGGATACAGAAAAGAATGTGTTACTAGCCTTAATGAGGTAAAATAACATAACGTATTAAAATTAAGAGGGATGGAGAAGAGAGGTTGGAGCAAGCATGAGTTCGTACAAATTTCCTTACTGGCTTCGCATCACAGATATTATAAAAACTGAAATGTAATTATAAACATAGTAATTCCAATCTATTGCAGTCATTCAGATTTTTTTTAAGCTGTAGTGATAGTATGGTGCCGAAATATTGTTTGAAATTCAGAAAGTCCTCAGTTTTACCTAAGCTTCCTAAATGAGTTGGACACTATATTTATTTATAAAAGCAAGTATTATGTGATCCAGTTTTCCTACAATCATGTTAACCTAGGCAGATAAAAAATACCTAGACTGATGGTCACCAAATGATAATGATGGTTATTTCTGGGTGATAGGATTTTATAGGGTAATTTTTTGTCAAAGTTTATTTATTTATTTTGAGAGAATGAGAGCAGGAACAAAGGAGGAGGAGCAGGAGGGGCAGAGACAGGGAGAGAAAGAGAATCCCAAGCACACTCAGCACTACCAGCACAGAGGCTTACACAGGGCTCGAACCCACGAACCGTGAGATCATGACCAGAGCCCAAACCAAGAGTCAGACACTGAACCAATGGAGCCACTGAGGTACTCTTACAGGGTAATTAAAAAAAAAAACATTCTTCTATGTAACTTTCTGGATTGCAGGATTTTTAAAAATGATAACTACTGGGGCTCCTGGGTGGCTCAGTTGGTTGAGTGTCCAGTTGCTGTTTTGGCTCAGGTCATGATCTCAGTTTGTGAGTTCGAGCTCCACATTGGGCTCTATGTTGACAGTGTGGAACCTGCTTGGAATTCTCTCTCTCCTCTCTCTCTGTCTCTCCCCTGCTTGCACACAAGCACTCTCTTGCTCTCTCTCAAAATAAATAAACCCTAAAAAAAATGATGAATATGTATCATATCACATAAAAAATTTTTTTAATAAAGAAACAAAAATCACATCTATTATGTAAATGTGTTTGCTATACACATTTATCTTCTAAAAGGTTTTCAAAATTTATGGCCTAATTAAAAAATCCTCAACAAAAATGTAAAGCAGAAATTTACCCAACAGATAAGAACAGAAAACAAAAATAAGTTTATTACTTTCGTTGTAACATGTATGGCTAAACATACATAAAAAAATTTCTCCTACTTCCCATTTCGGAAAGCCAGTAAGAGAAAGGGGCTAGGTGGTGTCAAGACAGAGGCTGCAGCCTGGAGAGGCAGGCACAGAGGAGTCACGATGCCATATCACACTGTAACTTAACTTCCTTTTTAAATTTATCTTTAATGTTTTTATTTATTTTTGAGACAGAGGGAGACAGAGCATGAGCAGGGGAGGGGCAGAGAGGGAGGGAGGCACAGAATCCGAAGCAGGCTCCAGGCTCTGAGCTGTCAGCCCAGGGCCCAAGGTGGGGCTCCAACTCCCGGACTGTGAGATCATGACCTGAGCTGAAGTCGGACGCTTAACCGACTGAGCCACCCAGGCGCCCCAACACTGTAACTTAACTTCTTTTTTTTTTTTTTCAACAATTATTTATTTTTTTTTTTGGGACAGAGAGAGACAGAGCATGAACGGGGGAGGGGCAGAGAGAGAGAGGGAGACACAGAATCGGAAACAGGCTCCAGGCTCTGAGCCATCAGCCCAGAGCCCGACGCGGGGCTCGAACTCCCGGACCGCGAGATCGTGACCTGGCTGAGGTCGGACGCTTAACCGACTGCGCCACCCAGGCGCCCCATGTAACTTAACTTCTTAAAACTGAAGCAGAATTTGGCTGTCAAGTCACATCTCGCCCCCTTAGTTTCTGCTTCGCTGCTCTAACTCCCACCTGCACCAGGTGCTCAACTCTACCTCCTTCCGTTTCGTGCTCTTCCTTGTGGCAGTCTGAATCTGTTACAGCAATGGTTCCAGTCTTGGCTATACAGTGCAATCATGTGGGAAGCTTTAAAACACACTGACAACTGGGTCCCAATACAGAGACTTTAATTTACTTGATCTGGGGTGCAGCCTCAGTGCTGGGATTTTTCAAAGCTCCCCAAGTCACTGTAATGTGCAGCCAAGGCTGAGAAACCATATCGCAGCCTTCTCTGACCTTTTCCAGCTCTGTGTCCCTGGAGGGGTTCCCTCCAGTTCCTCATGCTCACTTTCCTCCACAGGGGATAGAAGAGATGATAAATGAGGACACGTCCAACAGTATCACTACACAGAATACACAAAATCTCAGTCCAAAGAGAACAAGGACATCTCGTATTCATGCACCTAAATTCTGCAGCACAGCCAGATCTAGGAACATAAAGCTTTTTGTGAGAACAAAGAGGACAGACACTCCTCATAATAACTTTAGGAGGCTTGTACTCCTGGGAGCACTAAACAGTGATTAAAATCCAGCTGAATTAAACTCAGGTGGCTCAGAGGGCAGGGAAAAGAGAATTAATTCCGGGTTTCAGACCAAAACAGACTTTTTAAATATGCCTAAGTAGTCATTCTCCTACCTCTCTTTGCTGCTGGTTCAAATTATGCGAATTCCTCTGGCAAAGGGCAATTGTCTCTACCATGGTATCTTCAACATCCTTCAATGAAAGGTCCTCTTTGGCCTCTAGATTCAGAAAAATTGTTAACAATACTTAAGGATACATTACTGATAATCTCAGAGCTTCTGGAAAAAATTAAACTATTTTTTCTTTGCAGAGCCCTGGTTTTCCATTATATAATTCTTATATAATACCATTCTTCCATAAGAATGATACCAAGGCTTAGATTAAACAACAGACAATTTAGCATAAGAGGAGTTTTCCATGTAAACATCTGACATTCACAGCACATATAAAGCACATCATACTTAACATTTTAATATGTTTTGGCTATGTTAAAGTCCCAATCCTCTGTTTGTGGGTTAGTTAGTGGAAAGGTTACTTTTCACCTTTCTTGCTCTACCATTTCTTTTTCCATTTGTTTGTTTGTTTGTTTATTTCTTCATTCTGAGAGAGAGAGCATGTGTGTGTGAGCGGGGAAGGGGTATTGGGTGAGGGAGAAAGAGAATCCCAAGCAGGCTCTGTGCTGGTGGCATGTGACACGCCAACGTGGGGCTCGAACGCACGAACCATGAGATCATGACCTGAGCAGAAGTCAAGAGTCTGACGCTTCGCTCCTTATCAGGGAAATACAAATCAAAACCACACTCAGATATCACCTCACGCCAGTCAGAGTGGCCAAAATGAACAAATCAGGAGACTATAGATGCTGGAGAGGATGTGGAGAAACGGGAACCCTCTTGCACTGTTGGTGGGAATGCAAATTGGTGCAGCCACTCTGGAAAGCAGTGTGGAGGTTCCTCAGAAAATTAAAAATAGACCTACCCTATGACCCAGCAATAGCACTGCTAGGAATTTATCCAAGGGACACAGGAGTACTGATGCATAGGGGCACTTGTACCCCAATGTTCATAGCAGCACTCTCAACAATAGCCAAATTATGGAAAGAGCCTAAATGTCCATCAACTGATGAATGGATAAAGAAATTGTGGTTTATATACACAATGGAGTACTACGTGGCAATGAGAAAAAATGAAATATGGCCTTTTGTAGCAACGTGGATGGAACTG